TGGGGCAGGGACATGAATTGGGGCAGGGACATGAATTGGGGCAGGGACATGAATTGGGGCAGGGACATGAATTGGGGCAGGGTTCGTGTTGAGGTATTCAATTATCCCTCATAAAAGGGAAGTAACGCCTGGTTGATATTGTATTTTGCGTATAGTTGTAGGTCGATCGATATATAAACATATCAAAACATTTCGATGACTAGATCTATTTCAGAACCAATGCAAGCAACGATCAAAGCCGAAATTCAAGGAGTTTTCACGAAGCATGCAAGTAACGAACAAAGCATAAAATTCAAGTAGTTTTTAGAGAGTTTCGCTAAAATCGTAAAATTCAATAGTTTTTCAAGTGCGCTTGAAAACGTGAATTAAATTTGGCGCTTGCGTGATGGCGTCATTTGACTCCCACTACCAAGATGCTTCGCGAATTCTCTTTCTTATTTAAATTTGTATTCCCTCATGAGAATAGTAAGACAATTGGTGCTAATTAACTGAACAAAAGAAAGTGTGCAAGGGAGTCTGGTAGTAGAGCTCAATGACGCCATCATGCAAGCGTCCTATCTGCGAAAGGTCTACAACCCCTTTCAATACTCACCTTAGCTTCAACAAGCCGTTCTATGATAGTTAATAAACTTTCGTCCAAATAACACCGGTGCACCCCTTCAAATCCCTGCAGATGAAAAACACAGCAGAAGATGAGAGAAATGGGAAGGAATGCACTCTTATGGGATGGAAGAGGAGAGACAATGAGAAAGGGTGGGTTCAAAGGGTAGGATGATTTCCTAACCAATCTTTTAGCGTACCTCGGCTCTGTGCTCCAGCGCTTGTTGTACAGTCACATCAAGATTATTATAACTTTTTTCAGCAGCAAGATTCTAAGAGGTAGAAGAAATCTTCAGATCAGTGATGAAATACTATTTTCCCTAGTTTAAACACTCTTGTGAAAACGAGTGGCAAACTCATCATTTAAGAATAGTAATCTAAAAGTAATTATGGGACGTCCTATTTGGTCTTTTTTAAATATTTTTATATGTGTGGTCACAACGTTAGATAGTGGTAGAGTTTCTACTTACAATGACATCAAATTTTGCATAGATATCCACAACGACTCCTGCAATCAATAGACAAATCATTGTAATAATGCGACAAAAGCCAGTATAGCAGTTGCATTAGGGGGGGGGGGGGGGGGCCCGCTCCCCATCTATTTGTATAATTAACTCCTCTAAATTATAAAGCTTGCAATGCGAGCATATATCGATCAGACCAAATATTGCTTGCATACCCTTA